GGTGCCTCCTGAATTTCCCCGGAATTTCCCCTCTCCTCGAGGAAATCTTTTCTCACTCCCCTCTCCTTGAGGAACCTTTTTTTTTGTGGTGGTGCCTCCTGAATTCCCCAGAATTTCCCCTCTCCTCGAGGAAATCTTTTCTCCCTCCCCTCTCCTTGAGGAACCTTTTTTTTTGTGGTGGTGCCTCCTGAATTCCCCAGAATTTCCCCTCTCCTCGAGGAAATCTTTTTTTTTTTGTGGGGGGGCCTCCTGAATTCCCCGGAATTTCCCCTCTCCTCGAGGAAATCTTTTCTCACTCCCCTCTCCTTGAGGAATCTTTTTTTTTTGTGGTGGTGCCTCCTGAATTCCCCAGAATTTCCCCTCTCCTCGAGGAAATCTTTTTTTTTTTGTGGTGGTGCCTCCTGAATTCCCCAGAATTCCCCCTCTCCTCGAGGAAATCTTTTTTTTGTGGTGGTGCCTCCTGAATCCCCCGGAATCTCCCCCCTCCCCGAGGACTCCTCTCCCCCCTCACCTCGTCCTGCTCCTCGTGCTCCAGGATGGCCTGCAGGAAGGCCCGGCGCTCGTGGCTGGAGGATTTCTGGTCGAACATTCCCGCCTGGATCACCTTCTGGTCCACGTTGAGCTTGTACTTGGCCGCCGCCAGGATCTTCTCCTCCACGCTGTTGACGGTGCAGAGGCGCAGGACCCGCACCTCGTTCTGCTGCCCGATGCGGTGGGCGCGGTCCTGGGCCTGCAGGTCCTGGGGGGACGGGGCAGCCGTGGGCCAAAGGGGGCCCAAAATCCCGGGATTTACCCTCAAAACCCACAGGACGCACTCAGGGATAACAAGGATCCCATTATGGGATCACCAGACCCATGTAGGGCCTGTGGGATGGGGCAAATATTGGAGGTGGAGTCTTAAAAACCCAGGGTTTGTCCTCAAAACCCACAGGGGAGATGGGGGGATGCACTCAGGGATCCCAAGAATCCCACAGTGGGATCACCAGACCCATGTAGAGCCTGTGGGACGGGGCAGCTGTGGGCCAAAGGGGGCCCAAAATCCCGGGATTTATACTCAAAACCCACAGCAGAGGTGTGGGATGAGCCCTGAGGGAGCTCAGCGGTGACACAGACCCCATAATGGGATCACCAGACCCATGTAGAGCCTGTGGGAAGGGGCAGCCGTGGGCCAAAGGGGGCCCAAAATCCCGGGATTGGCCCTCAAAACCCACAGGGGAGGTGTGGGATGAGCAGAGGTGACACAGATCCCATTATGGGATCACCAGACCCATGTAGGGCCTGTGGGAAGGGGCAGCCGTGGGCCAAAGGGGGCCCAAAATCCCGGGATTTACCCTCAAAACCCACAGGACGCACGCAGGAATCCCCGAGGATCCCATAATGGGATCACCAGACCCACAGGATGCACTCAGGGATGACAAGGATCCCATAATGGGATCACCAGACCCATGTAGGGCCTGTGGGAAGGGGCAGCCGTGGCCAAAGGGGTCCAAAATCCCGGGATTTACCCTCAAAACCCACAGGGGAGGTGTGGGATGAGCAGAGGTGACACAGATCCCATAATGGGATCCCCAGACCCATGTAGGGCCTGTGGGAAGGGGCAGCCGTGGGCCAAAGGGGTCCAAAATCAAGGGATTTATCCTCAAAACCCACAGGACGCACTCAGGGATCCCCGAGGATCCCATTATGGGATCACCAGACCCACAGGACGCACTCAGGGATGACAAGGACCCCATAATGGGATCACCAGACCCACAGGATGCACTCAGGGGTGACAAGGATCCCACAATGGGATCACCAGACCCATGTAGGGCCTGTGGTAACCAGGACAAACCCCAAAACCCTGGGTTTGTCCTCAAAACCCACGGGAGAGATGTGGGATGAGCCCTGAAGAAGCTCAGGGATCCCTGAGGAAAACAGGGATTCAGTGATGAGATCACCAGACCCATGTAGGGCCTGTGGGAAGGGGCAGCCGTGGGCCAAAGGGGACCCAAAATCCCGGGATTTATCCTCAAAACCCACAGGATGCACTCAGGGATCCCCGAGGATCCCATAATGGGATCACCAGACCCACAGGATGCACTCAGGGGTGACAAGGATCCCATAATGGGATCACCAGACCCGTGTAGGGCCTGTGGGAAGGGGCAGCCGTGGGCCAAAGGGGTCCAAAATCAAGGGATTTACCCTCAAAACCCACAGGACGCACTCAGGGGTGACAAGGACCCCATAATGGGATCACCAGACCCATGTAGGGCCTGTGGTAACCAGAGGGTCCCCAAAACCCTGGGTTTGTCCTCAAAATCCATGGGGGAGGTGTGAGATGAGCCCTGAGGGAGCTCAGGGATCCCTGAGGAAAACAGGGATTCAGTGATGGGATCACCAGACCCATGTAGGGCCTGTGGGAAGGGGGGCAGCCGTGGCCAAAGGGAGCCCAAAATCACGGGATTTACCCTCAAAACCCACAGGGGAGGTGTGGGATGACCCCTGAGGGAGCTCACAGGTGACAAGGATCCCCAGACCCATGTAGGGCCTGTGGGAAGGGGCAGCCGTGGCCAAAGGGGACCCAAAATCCCGGCATTTATCCTCAAAACCCACGGGGGAGATGGGGGGATGCACTCAGGGATCCCAAGGATCCCATAATGGGATCACCAGACCCATGTAGGGCCTGTGGGAAGGGGCAGCCGTGGGCCAAAGGGGTCCAAATCCCGGGATTTACCCTCAAAACCCACAGGATGCACTCAGGGATCCCCAAGGATCCCACAATGGGATCACCAGACCCATGTAGGGCCTGTGGGAAGGGGCAGCCATGGCCCAAAGGGAGCCCAAAATCCCGGGATTTATCCTCAAAACCCACAGGGGAGGTGTGGGATGAGCCCTGAGGGAGCTCAGGGGTGAAAAGGATCCCACAGTGGGATCACAGGTCAGTGGGTGGGTTTTTGGGTGGGTTTCCTGGTCACTGGGTTGATTTCCAGGCCCATGGGTGAGTTTTTGGGTGGATGGGCAGGTTTTTGGGTAGGTTTCTGTGTCCCTGGGCTGTTTTCCAGGTCCCTGGGCAGGTTTTTGGGTGGGTTTCTGGGTCCCTGGGCTGTTTTCCAGGTCCCTGGGCAGGTTTTTGGGTGGGTTTCTGGGTGGGTGGGCAGGTTTCTGGGTGGGTTTCTGGGTCCCTGGGCTGTTTTCCAGGTCCCTGGGCAGGTTTTTGGGTGGGTTTCTGGGTGGGTGGGCAGGTTTCTGGGTGGGTTTCTGGGTCC